ACAGAAGTGTTTCTTTTGGCCGTGTGTGACAGGCAGCTGGCTTGACTTGTAGATTTACCACCCCATTGTTCTGTCGCTCCATAACAAAAACACAGCGTTTCCTGCTCCGCTTTACCCATGCTTAGTATTAAGGGTGGAATATTGTTTGTGGCGTAAAAGGGGAGAGGAAGGGCCGCCGATAATGTGTTGTGGAAGGTTAGAGGTCTTTATCTGAGTCTGTAAGAAAAAGTGCAAACGCAGTGTGAGAGAACGCATGTGTGTGAGAGACAGTGGTGTGTGTGTGTGTGTGTGTGTGAGGTGTGAGTGCTTCTTTTGAAATGCATCACACACACTCCCCACCGTGGGAGAGGGCTGAGTGTCCTGTGACCCAATGCGTCATTTGGAAATCAAGCCAAATGGTATGTGCTTCCTACTCAGTCACCAGAGACGTGAAAAACCAAACGAGCGGACGAGACTTCTGAGCTCTTTTCGATTATTGCTCTCAGGTTGGAATTTGGCGATTATTGATGCATGCAGGAGTAAAACTCAGAAAATATAATTGATTGTACAAATACCTACAGTTAAATTCAGATTAGCTTCCGGTTTATTTTTCCCCCAATTTTTGTTAAACAGAGAGCAGTTTTTCTGCAAATTTCGAAACTCATTTCTAATAACTGATTTATTTTATCTTTGCCATGACGACTTTGTTTTTGACATGACATGATGTTTCAAGACAGTTCTATACAGCTTAGAGTGACATTTAAAGGCTTAACTAGGTTAACTACACTACTAGGTTAGGGTAATTAGGCAAGTAATTGTATAAGGATGGTTTGTTCTGTAGACAATCAATAAAATTAATAAAATATTAAAGGTGCTAATAATTTTAACCTTAAAATAGAGTTTAAAAATAAAAAACTGCTTTTATTCAAGCCGAAATAAAACAAAACTTTCTCCAGAAGAAAAAAATATTATCAGACGTACTGTGAAAATTTCCTTACTCTGTTAAACATCATTTGGGAAATATTTAAATTCATTCATTCATTTTCTTGTCAGCTTAGTCCCTTTATTAATCCGGGGTCGCCACAGCGGAATGAACCGCCAACTTATCCAGCAAGTTTTTACGCAGCGGATACCCTTCCAGCCACAACCCATCTCTGGGGGAGATCCACACACACATTCACACACACATCAATACACTACGGACAATTTAGCCTACCCAATTCACCTGTACCGCATGTCTTTGGACTGTGTGGGAAAACGGAGCACCCAGAGAAAACCCACGCGAAGGCAGGGAGAACATGCAAACTCCACACAGAAACGCCAACTGAGCCGAGGTTTGAACCAGCAACCTTCTTGCTGTGAGGTGAGAGCACTACCTACTGCGCCACTGCCTCGCCCAGAAATATTAAAAAAGAAAAAATAATCAAAAGGGGGCTAATACTGACATCAACTGTGTGTGTGTGTGTGTGTGTATGTGTGTTTGTGAGTGTGTGTATATATTTATACATATATATATATGCATACATACATACATACATATATATATATGTATGTATGTATGTATGTATGTATGTATGTATGTATGCATATATATATATATATATATATATATATATATATATATATATATATATACACACATTAACAATGTTGGGGAAAGCTACTTTTTAAAATAATGCATTACAATATTGAGTTACTTCCTTAAAAAAGTAGCTAGCTATGCATTACGTTACTTTTGAGTTACTTTTTCTTTATCTGAAAAAGTTATTCAAAGATGATTCCTTGGACTTACTAATTAGTTTTAAAGGTGCAGTAGATGATCTGACAAAACGCTAACCGGTTAGCATAATATCTTTGAAACAGTCCCACCCCTGTCGTCCAAAGCCACATCTCTGGAAATTGTGAACGTGCGCACCTTAAAAATGGCAGCAGACAACCCACTAGATCATGTCATTTGCCAGTTGAAAAACTTTACAGTACTTAATAATACTACAATTCCGAATGAAAAACTGTATTATATCTAGCACGTTTTCAGTTGTGTAGCAAGCAAAACTTGTCATTATGTGCAATATGTCATGCTTAGTGGTTGGCCGGCGGCTGCAGGAATCACACTTGTTATTAAGCCATACTCACATGCTATTTCAGAGTGAATACTGGGCCCAAAGTGTGACCCTGTCATATTGTTACAGATTATTTCAAACCTATATCCCAATGATCTCTAAATAACACTTCATCAAGACTTTGTGTTTTGACAAGAGGCCGCTTATTTTATTGCAACAATACAAAACTTTTCATTCATTCATTCAAACATTAAAAAAATAAGAGAGCAGCACAGGCGTCTCGTTGAATCGATTCATTTGACCTTGTCAGCCATCTGGAATGTGAAGTTTGCTCAACACACTATTGGCTAGAATCAACAAACAACTTTAACAAATGCAAGATTCCCAAAACCAAAATAAAGTCCTTTATGTCCAACATGCCGTTTCACGTCTGCTGAATAAAACTCTTGCTGGATTTCAACAAAACCCCACGATGAACAGACGAGCAATGTCCAGATCCATAACTTAAAGCACAATTGAAACGCTTGCTTATTGTATTTACATTTCCAAGTCAACGACGGATTGCTCTGCATGTTGATCTTTAGTTTTGTTTGTTTGCTGTTTGAATAAATGTTTGAGAAGTTATAAGCAAAATGGGGATAAAAGAACCACATGCGTTTTCGACCACACCGGCTCGCACGTCAACAGCATAAGGGCTACAAATGTCTGATATGCAATACGCATCCGTCAGGCCAGCTTTCGGGATGCAGATGTCCATATGATCAACCTGAAGTCACACGGTGCGGGAATCAAGGCCTCGTGCATAAACGTTCAATAATCCACAGACCTGGGAGTTGAGAAACGCAATAACACAAACAATAAATTAAAAAAACAGTCACTTGAGATGCTTATTCATCAAAACACTGCAGTTCTTCCCTGCAAGATTGCTCTCGGCTCCAGTTTTCACGTATTGACCTTATTCTTCATGTACGAGCAGGTGCAGACCGGAATCTTTTTGACTCAAGACTTCCACTCACATTCACTTCTGTTAATTTCTACACGTTAAAAACAGCTCAAAATGCTGCTTCAAGTCCCTTTTATCAGGGATCACCACAGCGGAATGCACCGACAACTATTCCAGCATGTGTTTTAGGCAGTGGATGCCCTTCCAGCTGCAATCCAGTACTGGGAAATCTGCTTCAATTTGCAAACTGATATTTTTATTCATTCATTCATTTTTTTTTCCCGGCTTAGTTCAATTATTAATCAGGGGTCACCACCGCGGAATGAACCTCCAATTGTTCTAGCGTAAGTTTTATGCAGTGGATATTCTTCCAGCCACAACCCAGTACTGGGAAAGCTGCTTCAATTTGCAAACTGATATTTTTATTCATCCATTCATCTTCTTTTCGGCTTAGTCTATTTATTAATTAGAGGTCACCGCCACGGAATGAATCACCAACTTTTCCGGCATATATTTTACGCAGTGGATGACCTTCCAGCCACAACCCAGTACTGGGAAAGCTGCTTCATTTTCCAAACTGATATTTTTAAATTTCTTTTCAGCTTAGTCCATTTATTAATCAAGGGTCACCACCGCGGAATGAACCGTCAACTATTCTGGCATATGTTTTCATAGTGAATGCCCTTCCAGCCACAACCCAGTACTGGAAAAGCTGCTTCATGTTGCAAACTGATATTTTTAATAATTCATTCATTTTCTTTTCGACTTAGTCTCTTTATTAATCAGGGATCGCCACCGTGGAATGAACCGACAACTAATCTGGCATATTTTTTACGCAGGGGATGCCCTTCCAGCTGCAACCTAGTACTGGAAAAGCTGCTTTATTTTGCAAACTGATATTTTCATTCATTCATTAATTTTTTTCAGCTTAGTCCATTTATTAATCAGGGGTCACCACAGCGGAATGAACATCCAATTATTCCAGCATAAGTTTTATGCAGTGGATATTCTTCCAGCCACAACCCAGTACTGGGAAAGCTGCTTCAATTTGCAAACTAACATTTTCATTGATTTTTAAAATTTTTTTGGGCTTAGTCCCTTTATTAGTTAGGGGTCGCCACAGCGGAATGAACCGACAACTAACCCAGCATATGTTTTACACAGTGGATGCCCTTCCAGCCGCAACCCAGTACTGGGAAAGTGGTTCATTTTGCAAACTCATATTTTCATTCATTTTCTTTTGGGCTTAGTCTCTTTATTTATCAGGGGTCCCCACTGTGGAAGGAACCCCTAACTATTCCAGCATAAGTTTTATAAAGTGGATGCCCTTCCAGCCGCAACGCAGTACTGGCAAAGCTGCTTCATTTTGCGAACTTGTATTTTCATTCATTCATTTTCTTTTCGGCTTAATCCCTTTATCAATCAGGGGATTGCCACCGCGGAATGAACTACCAACTAATCCAGCATGTTTTACGCTGTGGATGCCTCTCCAGCCACAACCCAGTACTGGGAAAGCTGCTTCATGTTGCAAACTCATATTTTCATTCATTAATTTTCTTTTCGGCTTAGTCCATTTATTAATCAGGGGTCGCCATCGCGGAATGAACCGACAACTAATCCGGCATATGTTTTACACAGTGGATGCCCTTCCAGCTGCAATCCAGTACTGGGAAAGTTGCTTCATGATGCAAACTGATGTTTTCTTATAGTGTTATTTTACTTTTTTATGTATTTTTATGTTTTTAGAGGAAGTAGTTTGTCCGTTTTATGCCATTTATTATTCCCAGTCATTTCTCCCATGGGCGACTAAATCGCAAAAACGATCCGGATCGCAGAATAAGGTCAATAAACACATGAGTAAACTCCCATGTGCACCAACATCTAATCCAGAATCTGCTGTCAAGACCAACAGAGAACCAGACCAGACGCATCTCCAGCGGCATCAAAACACTGATGTCCATCATTTGGAGCAGCCTCTATTGGCCTTTCAGTGTCCGTGGTTTACTGTCCACGCTCCGTCAAACCTTGTAGTAAATATTTGCCGGATTCTGCGGTGGCATTTCTTGGACGATGTACACGGGGTGTCCGTAGTCTCCGCTAACCTTCTCGTAATGCGGGCAGTACATGCTTCCTGAGGTCCGGATAGGAAAGATGATGTCGCTGGGCTCGGAGCCGTTGTTGTTGCTGCCGCCACTGGCACCACTGCCACGTTTGGGCAGCGTGTTTAAGGGCAGCTGTCCGGAGCACTGCGCCGAGTGCTTCTGATGACGCCGATGCAGAAGTGCTACAAGTGCGATGATGATGAGGATGAAGATCACAGCCCCGGATGCGACGCCTGCAAACAGGGCCACATCAGACCCAGCAGATCCCACAGACTCGCCACTCTTCCCTCCGGATTCTCCGTTCTGCATGGAGTCTGAGGAACATAAAAGAGTTTAGGATCAGATGGAGTTTATACAGGAATTCCGCCAGGAATGAACCGCCATATATCCCAGCATATGTTTTATGCAGCTGATGCTCTTCCAGCTGCAACCCAGTTCTGGGAAACACCTATAGACTCACATACGCACTTATACACTATGACCAATTTAGTTCAACCAATTCACCTATAGCGCATGTGTTTGGGCTGTGGGGGAAAACGGAGCACCCGGAGCAAACACAGGGAGAGCATGCAAACTCAGAAATGCCAACAGGACTCGAACCAGCGACCTTCTTGCTGTGAGGCGACAATGCTAACCACTGACCCACCATGCCAATCCAGACTTTAGATTACATTTTTTAATTACATGTTTATATTTCACCCCCAATTTTTGTTGTAATTTAGACATCTGGAATAAAACAGCATCATAATATATAATAGAGTCACAAAGTTGTTATACATATTCAATTTAGTAACGTTAATAAAAAGAAAATCAAAAGGTCACATTATTTTAAACCTCTTGCTATCAATAAACATTAATGTAGACTATTAGATCAATACATTACAAATGTTCAGCTTAGTAATTTAGTAAGGTAGTAGTTGGGTTGGTATTGGACCGGAATAAGGATGTAGAATAAGATTCTACTTTATACGTACTCGTACTACTACTAGCCAATATCTTACTATTGGACAGGTAATAATCCAGTAGTTAATGAAGGAATTTGGTGATTAGAGAAGTATAAAAAAGTGACTTTTATTAACTTTTTTAATAATATATATACACTCACTGGCCACTTTATTAGGTACACAGTACTAGTACCGGGTTGGCCCCCCTTTTGCCTTCAGAACTGCCTTAATCCTTCAAGGCATAGATTCAACAAGGTACTGGAAATATAACTCAGAGATTTTGGTTCATATTGACATGATAGCCTCACGCAGTTGCTGCAGATTTGTTGGGTGCACATGCATGATGAGAATCTCCCGTTCCACCACATCCCAAAAGTGCTCTATTGGATTGAGATCTGATGACTGTGGAGGCCATTTGAGTACAGTGAACTCATTGTCATGTTCAAGAAACCAGTCTGAGATGATTCACGCTTTATGATGCGATATTCTGCTGGAAGTAGCCATCAGAAGACGGGTATGCTGTGGTCATAAAGGGATGGACATGATCAGCAACAATACTCAGGCTGTAGTCCATCCGCCTCAAGGTTCGATGTGTTGTGCATTCAAAAATGCTCTTCTGCATACCCCAGTTTTAACCAGTGGTTATTTGAGTTACTGTTGCCTTTCTATCAGCTCAAAACAGTCTGGCCATTCTCCTCTGACCTCTGGCATCAACAAGGCATTTGTGCCCACAGAACTGCAGCTCACTGGATATTTCCTTTTTTTTGGACCATTCTCTGTAAACCCTAGAGATAGTTGTGCGTGGAAATCCAAGTAGATCAGCAGTTTCTGAAAGACTCAGATCAGCCCGTCTGGCACAAAGAACCATTTAGTTCATGCTCAGTTTGAACTGCAATGGACCGTCTTTACCATGTCTACATGAATAAATGCATTGAGTTGCTGCCATGTGATTGGCTGATTAGAAATAAGCGATAACGAGCAGTTGGACAAGTGTACCTAATAAAGTAGCCGGTGAATATATATATATATATATATATATATATATATATATATATATATATATATATATATATATATATATATATATATATATATATATACACATTTATACACAATGTACTTGATGTGATTTATGATATTTAGTGTGATTTCCCCCATATGCAATAATACCTACCAATCTGACTGACATCATTTTCTTTGCTGAAGGTATTTTGGTCCTTATTTTCAGGGTATTTTGGAGGATTTCTTGTGGGATGGTTTTTCGCTGAGAATGAATCTGTAGGACCTAAACAAAAAACAGAAGAGAGAGCTAACGTAACCTGTGGAGAAAAGCTGTACAAAATGTTCAGCGGACTGAAAAACTGATCTGAACACGATATCGGACCACCCTTACATCGTTCTGGCTCCGAGGCATTAAGCCCCAGGTTTTGAGAGAGAATTTAATGAATTGGCGTAAAGCTGCAAGTATCTCTCCATAAGCCCAAGGAAGGGACAGCTGGCATAGCCATAGGAAACAAGCTCACATGACATTTCAATTACACGCTGAGGAACACGAGCACGGACACCCACGACATGAAAGACTGATGGAGACGCTGCTGTTCAGCGGTGCAGGTGGAGGTGTTGGTACTTACTCTGGCCAACCCGCAAAACCAGCTTCATGGATTTGCTCCTGCAAACGCCACCATGGTGGTTGTCCAGTCCTTCAAAAGTGCTGTTAGAGGTGGCTAAAAGATGGAAAGAAAAAATATTCAGCCATTTTCTTCACAAATGCAATAACATTTTTGAAAATATAAACATGCCTGCTTAATAAACACTTCAAGGCAAATTTATAAGAAATGGTAAGTTTTTTTTCCACATATCTCCCCAGTGATGTTGAACAGAGCAAGGAGATTTTTAACAGTATTTCCTAATACATTTTTTTTTCTTCTGTAGAAAGTCTTATTTCTTTTAGTTTGGCTGGAATCAAAGTAGTTAAATTTGTGTATATTTTAATAAATAAAAGTGTATATTTTGAGGTCAGTATTATTAGTTCCATTGAATATTCTTGATATACACTTGAATATTAAATATTGTCTAATAAACCAAACCTGCCTAATAGTTTTAAGTGTGTTTATTTAGTTTTTCTTTGAAATGCTCAATAAACACTTTCAATTTTGACTTAAATTTCCCGAATTTTGATTTTATAAACTTAATACCATAACAAGAATCTACTAAGAATTAACACAAACATGTGTATGTGTAACCAAAAACATGACAATTTTGTTAAAGGAACACTCACTCCACTTCTTTTTTTTTTTGGTATTAGGCTCATTTTACAACTCCATTAGGGTTAAACAGTAGATCTCCGGGTCTGGCGGGAACACTTTTAGCTTAGCTTAGCATAAATCATTAAATAAGATTAGACCATTAGCATCTTGCTCAGAAATTTCCAGAAAGAGTTTTGATAATTTTCCTATTTAAAGCTTGATTCTTGCATAGTTACACTGTGTATTAAAACGGACAGAACATTTAAATTAGCTAATTTCTAGACCAATATCATTAGGAACTATACTCTCATTCCAGCATAATAATCAAGAAACCCTTCTGCTGTACCATGGCTGCAGTAGGCACAATGCTATTACGCAGCGCAGTAACTACGTTACCTAGCTAGGGACTGTTTTCAGGTGCTACATAATATCATATCAGATGCTAATGGTCTTATTTGGTACAATGATTGATGCTAAGTTAAGCTAAAAATGCTCCTGCCTAAATAGCCAAACCTGCATAATTTCCTCAGTGCAGTTTGTTTAGTTTTTCTTTAAAATGCTGAACTTAATATTGCAATTTTGACTTTTATTGTCAGAATATGAGGCTTTACAAACTTGACAATACAACAACAAGAATTTACTAAGAATCAACAGAAACATTTATATGCGTAACAGTAACAACAATTTTGGGGGAGAAAATGAGTTTGTTAAAGGAACACTCAATTTTTTTTGGAAATAGGCTCATTTTACAACTCCATTAAAGTTAAACAGTTGAGTTTTACAATTTTTGAATCCATTAAGTCGATCTCTAGGACAGACGAGAGCATTTGTAGCTTAGCTTAGCATAAATCACTGAATTAGATTAGACCAGGCATGTCCAAACTCAGTCCTGGAGGGCCGGTGTCCTGCAAAGTTTAGTTCCAACCCCAAACAGACACACCTGGGCTAGCTAACCAAGCTCTTACTAGGCTTTCTAGAAACAACTTGCATCAACACACCTGCAAGGATGAAGCTAAAATCTGCAGGACACTGGCCCTCCAGGCCTGAGTTTGGATACCCCTGGCCTAGTAGAAGGTTGATTAGCTAGCCCTGGTGTGCCTGACTGGGGTTGGAACTAAACTTTGCAAGACACCGGCCCTCCAGGACTTAGTTTGGACATGCCTGGATTAGACCATCAGCATCTTGCTTAAAAAATAGTTATGATAATTTTCCTATATAAAGCTTGACTCTTCTGTATATACATGTTAAACGTTGGTATTTTCTAGATGTGAACTATACTCTTATTCCAGCGTAATGAAGGAACTTTGCTGCTGTACCATGGCTGTAGTAGGCACAATGCTTTTATGCAGTGCTGTAACTAATTTATCTATCTGGGGACTTATTTCAGAAGCTGCATACTATCATATCAGATGCTAATGGTCTAATCCGATTCAATGATTTATGCTAAGCTAAGCTAAAAGTGCTACTTCCATACCTGATCGGATGAATGGATTCAAATTGTTAAACTCCACCACTAAACTCTTTCATTCATTCATTCATTCATTCATTCATTTATTCTCCTTGGGCTTAGTCCTTTATTTATCATGGGTCACCACAGTGGAATGAACCGCCAACTATTCCAGCATATGTTTTACACAGCGGATGCCCTTCCAGCTGCAACCCATCACTGGAAAACACCCATACACATCCACACAAACACACTAAGGCCAATTTAGTTTACCCAATTCACTTATACCACATCTTTGGATTGTGGAGGAAACAGGAGCACCCAGAGGAAACCCACGTGAACACGGGGAGAACATGCAAACTCCACAAAGAACTGCCAACTGGTCCAGCTGGGACTCAAACCAGCGATCTTCTTGCTGTGAGGTGACAGTGCTACCCAATAAGCCAGCATGCCGACCTCTCTGTTAAACTCTGTAGAACTTAATTTAGCCTGTTTTTAAAAAGTGTAGTGTTCCTTTAAAAAAAGAAGAGCACATTTTAATTTTCTAATGAAATTTAAATTCTGGAACTCATTTTTTTGTATAAGATTCCCCCGTCCAACATTTACTATCCCACATTTGTGATGCTGCATATTTAAAGGCCATCATCCATCTTCAAAACTCCTCCATGCCACCAAATTATTCTCCCCCCCTCGAGGCTCATTCCTCTTACAGTCGTCCTGATGTATTTGGCCATATAAGGTTTAGTAGCACCAAGTGAGCTCGTTTATGACTGGGTCAACTTTCCACATGTGCTCTCGCAGGTGCTTTAAAACCTCTAAAGTGTCCCTCGCGGACATTGGAGTCACATGTTCATCAGTCACTGCGTATGTGAATGCAGAAGGTGAAGGTTCAACTCGCTCACACAAAGAGAAAAATCTCACTTTTGCAGCACAGCAAAGCTCCTTAAAAGCTTGTGTTTGTTTGCTTGTAAATCCTTACGAAGAGAGAACACACACACATTCACGTGCGCGTTAATTTAGAAACCCCTCATACTGTGAGTAATAATCACACAGGTTTGAACTTTACAACATATTACCGAAGCCTTAGCACAGAATATCAAGGATTTGCTTTGGCTGTCAATCCCGGGATAGTGGAGTGGCTTGCTGGAACAATTTAAACTCTATTGTGCTTTGGCACCCATGCTGTGTCCTCTGATAGCAGGGCTAAAGAATTCCATTGGGCCGTAATCTCTCTTTCACTGCGAGGATTAAGACCAATCCCACATGAACAAATGGACTTCCCATCCAAACTGCTTAGGGCACAGAAAGAGCCAATGACCAGCAAGTGAAAGGCAGAGAGATGTTGGGGGGTGGGCAGTAAAAATGGATTAGACGCTAATTTTAGCTAGTACAAATGTAAATAAACTTTCATTAGAAATTTTAGGGTCGTACAATGTTTTAAAAGTTTTTTTTTTTGCCTGTTTATTCAATGAAAAAGGTATACATTTAAAATATAATTTTATTTTCGATTTTAAAAATACACTTAAAAAATGGTAAATTGTTGCAAACAATTGATAAAGGCTGATTTTAAGCAAACAAATGTAATTTAGTAATGTTCTACTTTGTTTGTTTAAATTCAGCTCATATTTGCAACCACTTACCTTAAAAAAAAAAATAATAATAATTATATATATATATATATATATATATATATATATATATATATATATATATATATATAATTAAATAAACAAATAATTTAATGAATTAATTAAATAATTACAAATTTGTAAATCATTTTATTCAGTGTACATAGAAATGTTTCCCGTTTTCCAGATGACATTGTTAGTTGTTGGACAATATCGCGCTCTTAGTAATGCGTTACCGGCATTACTATAGACAGTAACTAATACTGTAACACGTTACTTTTTAAATATATTAACTATGTTATCCCTACAATATAATGTGTTTGTCCGTTACTTGGTAAATTAATTCATTTTGGCTGCAGTCTAGCCTACATCTTCCTGTTTACAACAGCAACACATTGTGGGATTGGTGGATGTCAACAAACTACCATAAAGAAGACACACTTATGAAGTGCCTTAGTCGTGTACGAGGCGCCAGACTGGAAAAAAAGTAAAGTGAAAGCAGAAAGACTGTGAGAGAGACCGAATGCAGGCGAGGTAGACCGATTTTGTGCACGCGTGAGACCGAGACACTATTAACGTTACTATTATTAATTACTATTACTACTACTATGTTTGTTGTTTCAGATAAATAAGCACACATTTGTTATCTGTATACAAAACTGATTTGTTTAGTAGACAGAACACATGTTATTTAAAATTTTTAGTGTTGTATTGCTCAGAAAAACGTTGTGATTTATTTATTTATTTGTGAGCTGTTATACAACGGCAGATTTTGCACTTTGAATATCCACAGCTTACTTTTTATAAGCTGCTGACATACCACGTTTAATTTGTGGTTAGTTTGAAAAGAAGCTAATTTAAAGCACATTTAATCAAGTTTTCATTTGAAATTTTAGGGTCGTACAATGTTTTTAAAGTTTCTGTTCACCTATTTCTTCTGTGAAAAAGTGATTTATCTAAATATTTTATTTTCTATTTTGAATATACACTGAAAAAAATGCTTAATTATTACGGGCTAAATTTAAGCAAACAAATTAAATTTAGTAATGTTGAACTTAACTTGTTTGTTTAAATTCAGTCCATATTTACAACCTCTTACCTTAAAAAAATTGAGAAATATTTGTAAATCCAATGAACAATTTTTTCAGTGTACATTGAAATGCTTCCCTTTCCCAGATTACATTGTTAGCAACAGTGTTAGGCAATAACGCATTACTAGTAATGCGTTACTGTAACAGCATTACTTCTAACAGTAACTAATGCTGTAACGCATTACTTTTTAAATATATTAACTCTGTATTTGTTACAATATAATTGAGCCTAGCCAGACTGGACTAGGTAAAGCGAAAGCAGGAAGACTGCGAGAGAGGTCAAGTGTGCTCGCGAGAGAGACTGAATACGTG